CTGCCACCTTAGGTGTATGTGGCTGGCGCCTTAGCCTGTTGAGCTATAGGCGCCGAGCCACTTTAAGATGTTTTAATTGCCAAGATTACCTTCTGAAGCCTCCATATCCAATTCTGAAGGATCCAGCTCTTCCTCATGCCATAGCTTGGCAGTCCCCATGAGCATGGATGGCATCTTTATACGTAGACACAGCTCAGTCCAGACTGAGCCTATAGCTCAGCTGCAGACACAGACATGTAGATGGGAATATTGTTGCACAACAGAAGAATACATTTACAGTAACTACTTTCTGCTAATTTCTTACTATCTCTTCAGAGCTATAAGATATCAAACAAGTAGCCTGGTGCCTTTTCCTCAGACTCTGCCTGGTCAATAGCCCACTCTTGAGCCCTTGAAGTTGCTTCTTCAGTCCATCGTCCTTACATAGAGACAGCTAAACAAGTTATTGGTTAGCACATGAGACTAGGGCAGGGGTCCTCAAACTTTTTAAACAGAGGGCCAGGTCACTGTCCCTCAGACCATTGGAGGGCCGGACTGCGGACCCCAGGACGATTTGGCTGCTAGGCAGGACAGGCAGCGGTGGCAAAAACACCCAGCGGGCCTGATAAATGTCCTAGGCAGGCTGCATATAGCCCGCGGGCCGTAGTTTGAGGATGCTTGGACTAGGGTCTCAAAATGATTATCCTCAGCTGTCACTTTTTGTTCAAATCCTCTGATTCAGAATGAGGCTCACTCCAAGAGTGGCCTACAGACCTGAGCTCTGCCTCCAACCACGGTCAGCAGGTGATCTTTTTTTTTTTTTTGTAGAGACAGAGTGTCACTTTATTCCCCTCTGTAGAGGGCTGTGGTGTCACACTGCTCACAGCAACCTCCAACTCCTGGGCTCAGGCAATTCTCTTGCTTTAGCCTCCCGAGTAGCTGAGACTACAGGCGCCCACCACAACACCCGTTGTTGCAGTTTGGCCAGGGCCAGGTTTGAACCTGCCACCCTGGGTATATGGGGCCAGCACCCGACCCACTGAGCCACAGGCGGCAGGTGATCTTTCTACACCCCAGCTCCCACAAGTAGATCCTGGGTCCTCTGATTCAGAAACTCACCAGGAACACCACATGCCCTCTAGGAGCTGCGTGACCCCAGCCACACTCCTTAGCCACCTCTCTCAGCCCTGTCCTCTTGTCACAAAGGGATTGCACTTGTCACAAAGGTCCTTTGCATCTTTGACATTTTAACTTTCTTTTTTTTTGAGACAGAGCCTCAAGCTGTCGCCCTGGGTAGAGTTCCGTGGCATCACAGCTCACAGCAACCTCCAACTCCTGGGCTTAAGCGATTCTCTTGCCTCAGCCTCCCAAGTAGCTAGGACCACAGGTGCCCGCCACAACTCCTGGCTATTTTTTTGGTTGTAGTTGTCATTGTTGTTTGGCGGGTCCAGGCTAGATTCGAATCCACCAGCTCAGGTGTACGTGGTTGGCGTCTTAGCCACGTGAGCTATAGGTGCCGAGCTGACATTTTAACATTAACAGGAGTACAAGAGTAATAAGTAACTGAAGAGGTCACCCGGTATGCAACTACACTACAGATACTGGCCCTCCACCTGCCCTTCCTCAGGCATTTGTGGAGATAGTTTGAATCCAATTTGTGACCCTAGAGCACTTAATTTGGCTTCTTCCTTCATTGCTTTCATTAAAGAGCTTCACTGAAAAGCTCTTCCTGAATGCAGCCGCACTTCCAGAGGCTTTCCGTGTGCTGTCCCTTTGGGTTATTTCCTGCGTGCCTCTTTACTACTCCCCTCTCCTTTGCCTGGACATGAGCATGAGATAAACAGAAAGCACGCAGCGTGGGATGTGGGGCACGGCAGGGGCTCAAAAGTATGAGCTCCTTTCCTATTAGTTCCCCCCATCGCCATCCCAAAGTGAAGTCAGCAGCTTTGTTCTTCATTTTTGGCATATTTCTAAAATGTCAAATCTCCCATCGTCAGAGAAAACAAGGGTATTGTAGAGAGAAGGAAAGCTTTGGGGTTGGGAAGACCTGCCACGTTGCTTGCTAGCTGTGTTGCCTCCCTCTACCCTTGGGCCAGTTACTTATTACTAAAGCCCTTTGAGTGACAATTTGCTCATCTGTGAAAGAGGTGTGATGATGGTGTCCCTCATGGGGACATTGGAGAATAAAAGTAAGATGCCTATGTAAACCCACTGTGCCTGACGTGTATGCTGGTAACACTGCCTGGTCTTCCCTCTGCGCCTGTCCACTAAACCTTGTAGTCACTCTGTTGCCACCAGATGGCAATGCTCTATCACCATTTTGACAGAATGGTGCATTTTACTGGAAGGCAAGGACACTTTAAAGTTGACCCATGTAATCAGTAAGCTGAGTTCAGGGGACCTTCTGAAGACTGAAAAAGCCACATAAGACATGGAGCAAAGTGGCGACCTGCTGATTATGTCCACCCACTGTCAGCACGTACAGATCTCAAGAATTAAGAAAAAGCATCCTATTTCTTTTTTCAAAGCAACTGTCCTTAGAAAAATCTCCTGAGGCTGTTCTTTCAACAACCAGTCAGAACATAGTTACTTTGGGCTTATTCAACCATGAATTAAACATGAATTCTACATGAATTACAGGAAACTTTCCAACCATGAGTTGCTACTTTGCGCTTCTATGCCTGAGTGCTCTGTTGGGTCAGTTTATTTCAAAACAAACTGTAGGTGCATAACAGATCATAAAATCAGGGAAGGATTCTATATTTCCTAATTGTAGATTTCCACTGGCTATAAGATTCTAGGTCATGTTTTTATATCTAAAAACAGTTACAAAACAAGAAGGGTAATTCTTTTTAAGGTCTGTCCTGGCTTATTCAGGCTGCTCTAACAAAATGCCACAGACTGGGTAGTTTACAAATAAGGAAATTTATTTCTCACAGTTTGGGAGGCTGAGATGTTCAAGACCAAGGTGTGGTGTCCTGGTTCATACATGGTTATCTTCTCACTGTGTCCTCACATGGTGGAAGGGGGAGGAGCTCTCTCAGGCTTTCTTTATAAGGCACCAATCCCTTTCACCAGGGCTTCATATTCATAACCTAATCACCTCCCACAGCCTTCATCTCAAAATACACTGGGGTTAGGTTCCAGCATATGACTTTTGGGAGGCACACAAAATTTATTCTATAGCAACATCCTACAACTTCATTAATGATATTTCAATTTTGTAACCATTTTGCTTAAGTAAATTACATCCTATTACTTATGAGACTTCCCTCATATCTTTTGCCCGTAAGAGTTATCTCTTTATTGTTAAACCATGCGACATAGTTACTTATTGATTATTTATTTCAACTTATTTTTGTATTCATAATCATTGAAGCAGCTCATCGATGTCTTTATTCTTTGGTAAATTCTGTGAGAATTTGTTAAGTCACTGTGGATTCCCATAAAATCTGAGTGTCAACAGCAACTGAAGAAATTATCTAATCCAGTAGTTTCCAGATAGTTTCAGATTTTATAAATGAGTGAAATGTCCAGAAGGATTTTGGGAACTTACTTGGGTTAGTCAGAGTTTTACTTTGTTAAATAAGGACACTAAAACAAAACAAAACAAAACAAAATAAAATAAAATAAAATGTTCCACCATCATCTAGTGTCATGACCATTTCAATTTTAAAAGAGCATATTAGCACAAAATATAAGAGGAACGTGATCTCAAAATTTAAAAATTGGATTAGTTTTGCTTCATGAGAAATTCTTGGTGGTTGCCATTTCATCTTCCTTAGACCAGTCTAATTTCAGGAGAGGAGTCCAGACGCTGAAGCTCTCGGCCCCTCTGGCTGCGCATCTTCTAATCTAACGCTTCAGTAGAATTTTCTAATAGAATGTGGATTCTCTGTCGTGAAGTCAGTAAATAGGGCTAGCTTCTGGGTGTTGGGGCCCAGGTTTCTTTTAGTAGGAAATGAGATTAAAGACCAAAAGCTGGGTGCTAGGTGTGCACATTGTTACTGGGTAGTTTTGTTTCTTTGCCTATTCAGCAAACTCTGGGATATGCACACACACATCATGTACATGTAAATATGTATGCACGCATAAATATATATACACATAAGTACACATCAACACACAAATACATTTACATTTTTTAAAATCATAAATTCACACCAATACCCAAAAGTTAAGTCCATATCTATTGAGCTATTGATTGCTTGCCACCATTCCACATCTGTATTTCCTTCCACTGTGAGAATCCTGGCTTCTAATACATTTACTTACTCAATTTTATAATACATCTAAAATCGTTTCAGAATTGCTTCATCTGTATTCACTCTCATAAACATGCGAGATAAATAGAGTTCAGATTTATTTGAAGTTCCCCCTCGTCCCCCATCCCACCCAAGACTGTGGCACATATTCAAACACTGTATTTATAAGTTACTTGAATTATTTCCTTCTCTCTCCTTTCTTTCTTCTTTTTCTTTCTTTTCTCATTTCTTCCTTCCAGTCTTCTTCCTTTTTTTCAGTCTCTCTCTCTCTCATTCTCTCTCTTCTTCTCTCCCCATCCCTCCAGTGTGATTTTGGAATAATGTGAAATATTATTTGTTTTGGTTTTCTTTCAGTCTATTTCACTTCCTTTTTTATTGACTATTTTATTTTTCAATATGTAGAACAGTAACTAGTTTTACAAATTCAAAACTATACAAAAAGAGGTCCGTGGTGGATGGGGGCCACAGGCATGGTGAAAAAAAAAAAAAAAACTACACAAAAAGAAATACTCAGGAAAGAGTCACTCCCTCCCGTCTCCCTTCCACCCCCGGTAGGTAATCAGCGTGGTCGTCCACCTTATCCTTCCTGTGTTTCTCTTTGTAGTGCTAACCAGAATATCTGGTTTTTCTTATTCCTCCTCCTTTACTATACAAAAAGTGGCCTTCTAGATATGCTTTCCTGCATTTGCTTCTTTCATTTAATATATCCTGAAAATCACTTTTTATCAGTTCACAGATACCTTTATCATTCTTTTTGCCATCTGTAAAAACCATGGTGCCATTATTTTCTGGGGTTTTTTTAGCCAGTTTCCATACTTGGCAAACAGGTGTATTTTTCCACAATAACTAAACCAAGTTTTTTTGTTGACGCAGTCTCACTATGTTGCCCTCAGCAGGATGCCATGCCAATCACAGCTCACGGTAACCTCTAACTCTTGGGCCTAAGTGATTCTCTTGCCTCAGCCTCCCAAGTACCTGGGACTACAGGCGCCCACCACAATGCCTGGCTATTTTTTTTTTATTGCAGTTGTCATTGTTGTTTAGCAGGCCCGGGCCGGGTTCGAACCCACCTGCCTCAGTGTATATGGCCAGCACCCTAACCACTGAGCAATGGGCACTGAACCCAAAGGTAAGAGGCTTAGTATCTCAAAGACATCCCCACAAAGGAGTGTTCAACTTGTCCCTGTTTCTCCATCCCCGCCACCTCCTTTCCTTCAGCTGGCAACTTTTCCAGCGCCTGCAAGGAGGTCTGTCTCCTTCCACACGTGTTCCAGGCTCTGGCATTCTTTGCTTTTGTTCATGAGACAGCACTCTTTAGCTTCTAGAAATTGATTCCAGAAAAGTACTGAAGACTTTTATTCCCTGATGTCCTTTCTCCTATTTTCTTTGCTGTTGTGTGGTCAGCTTTTATTCCATCAACATCGTTTGAAAGGTTTACAAGGAAGAGTTGGGACTAAAAATGACACAAAGACTTTGTTAACCAGTTTGATGGAAGTGTTTCGGATTGTATGTGAAAACCCCACACTGTACCCCAGAAGTGCATTAATGTACACAGTTACCATTCAATTAAAAAATAAATAAATAAATAAAAATAAAATAAAATAAAATAAGAGTTGGGACTAAAAATAGTGAGTGGTTGTTTCACCTTCTTGAAAAGAAAGTCTACGGCCAGCCTCTTAAAAATAAAAATACATATTTTTTCTCCCTCTCTCAATTCTTTAACATCCTCAATATCCAGGAATTTTTGTATAAAGTTCTGAAGTTACAATACCAAACAATACATAAGAGGGTAGAGAGGAATATTTAAAATTGAATAGACTGACTAAGGAAGAGTACAGACTGTCTACGCCCACCCCAGGAAATAATATGATTTTAGACCAGCAGTTCTCAACGTGTGGGTCGCTACCCCTTTGGGGGTCGAACGACCCTTTCACAGGGGTTGCCTAAGACCATCCTGCATATCAGATATTTACATTACGATTCATAACAGTAGCAAAATTACAGTTATGAAGTAGCAACGAAAATAATGTTATGGTTGGAGGTCACCACAACATGAGGAACTGTATTAAAGGGTCGTGGCACTAGGAAGGTTGAGAACCACTGTTTTAGACACTACCAACTGTTATGATTGTTGTTATGCTTCTGTTTTTAAACTCCAAAAATGTCTTATTTGGCAAGGTTCTTCTGGGTTAGACCGGGCCTATTTATTGCACCCCCTACCTTTGCTTCTCAAGAAACATGAGTGGATTTTCAAGACGGAGGGCAGACAGAGTCAGAGGCCTCATCATCAGTGGAATGAAAGTGCTTTAGAAAATTATATAAAGACTCCAAGACTTGTAATGTGGTTGCTTATTCTCAACTTCCTGTGTGATTTTTCCACAGCTGTGATTCCCTCAATTCGGTCATGCTTCCCACAGATGTCCCCGCCATTCTTGCTGCCTTACCAGAAGACGACAGACTAGAAACAGTGGAACGGTAGCGTTCTTTTCTTTTGGTCTCTAATGTGATCTGTTTTCCAAAAATACATGCAGTGTTGTGAGAGACTCCAAAACAGCACACAGTGCCTGAGCTTGAACTCGAATGGGAAGGTAACACAACCACATCACCATCGAGATTAAATGTTAAGTTCATGGCAGAGAATCGACAGTCTTTAAGCTGTACAATTTACAGATCTTTAGATGCTCCAGAAGTTCAAGGAGGGGAGATGGGAGGGGGTGCCTGATGAGCTTGGAAGGCTTTAGTGGCCATGTGGAGTTGGGTTAGTACATGAAGGATGGGTAGGATTTGAATGAGCAAAAAGAAGCGTAAGCCCCAGAGCAAGGCACTTATGTCTAAGTTTAGTGATCAGCATCCAACAACCAGTGCAATGGATTCTGGGATCTCCTATCCCCATGCCCATTTAAGCTGAATGGCTGGAGACCCTGCAGCAGATCCCAGAATGGAAATCTGAGCCATGAAGAGCACGTGCCCCGTCCCAGCACCACTTCTCTGTGGTGAGCCCCTCAGCACGTTGCATCCAAACGCCCAGCACATATGTGAATCCAGCCAGATAGCCTGCCGCCACCCAGCATGCAGATGCCGCTAGACCTTAATCCTTACCTTCCTCCTTTCTAAAAATATATTTAGCTATTTACTACATCACCACATAATTTCAGGGAGAGAATCAGAAGTTCTGTATGTCGTAGCAGCTACTTTCTACCAGGAAAAAGTAAAGTCCATTTCAGTTTTCTAGTTTAATTATCCAACATAGCATAAAGTTTCATATGTATTCATCTTTCCTTAAAATTGGATTCTACTAGGATGATCATAGAACACCCAAGATGTTTAATAGCACAGCAATAAAGGGTGTGGGGTGTGGACTCCAGCCCTCCACCGTGCCATCCACTTTCAGTACACCTTGGGCAAGTGAGTTCACCTCTCTGCTTCCATACCCTCACCTTTAAAATGGAATAACCCCAAGACGCCATCTCACGAGTGGCTGCAGAAATCAATGAGTAAATACATGCCAAGTGTGTGTGGCCTGGCACATAGTAAGGTCTTGATCACTGGAGCTATTATTATTAATGACTTTGGTCAACGAACCCCTAACCCAGTATCTGACACAGGTAGTCAAGCAACAACTCACTTTTAAATAAATGTCTTCTCACCCAATAGTGTCAATCTGAGAAAATGAAAATGAGAGATTTCCAAAGTAGCAAACAAAGATATAGTGATGTCCCAAGAGGCTTCCTTTCATCCTGTGTCATGCTAAAGGAAGAGAAGATGAATAAATATTTTTATATTTGGATTTTTAGTGTCCTTGGGGGTATGAAGGAACACTTAAATGTATTGCTGTATAGCAGAGTTGGAGAATAGCACCAAGAGGGCCACCAGCCTTACATGGCAAGATCAAGGACACAAAGGAAGACCCTTGGCCCCAAAGTTACTCCTTACTGTATTTCCTGAACTTTTGTTAACAAAGATTCATTCCTTTAGCTTTGGGCTTAGTCCCCATTAAAGTACATATACCTCTAGGAGGGAACAGTTTGAATCTTATAACTCAGTATAAGACCTCATGAGCCTTTTTAGAGTTGAGGTTTGGGAAGCAGGAAAGATGATGGAAAATGAGGGGATTTCTAATCCAGTGGAGAGGTCAAGGAAAATATGAAGAGGAGGTGGGTGAGAAGTCAAAAACACACATGCCCAGCTTAGCCATTAACAGAAAGCCCAATGCTTCTGTGTGTTTCTGTTTGATGTGAAGTATGGGCATGAAGAGTTTGGTTTCTGGTCGCGACTCAGGCCAAGTGACCAGTCCTGTGCCTGCTTGATTGTCCCTGCATTTGAGGAATAAAAGAAAGTGTTCTGAAGTATAACTGTATTTCTGTGGCAAGATGGATGTCTTCTTTTTATGTGAGGTATGATTCATTAATGGATTTTGCCTCTACATGGTCTAAGCTCATTTCACAAATGAAGCTCTTGTTATTGAACTCCTGTCACTGATCAAAATATTGTAGAAACTACAAACAGTCCCTGATTTATGATGGTTTGACTTAGGATTTATCAACTTCATGATGGTATGTAAATGTTACTCATTACTTACCATGGGATTACATCTGGATAAATCCATTGTGAGTTGGAAATTTCATAAGCCAAAAATGTATTTTCAACTTAAAATGTTCAACTCATCAGGACATTATCTCATTTTAAGTCAATGGATCATCTGTATTTACCGATGTATTTTTCTGACCGTTTCTTTGGCATCTGCAAATGTCCTTAGGTCTATTCTGGTGAGACAGAACACAGGGATGATAAGTCAGGCAAAGCATATTGCTGCCTCAGAGATAGGCAGCAAAGATTAGCAGAAGTCTAGGATTCAGGGTAAGCCAGGCCATCAAGGCTCAGCAAGCTGCCCAGAATGGGGGTAGTCTTGCCTTCATATGCCATACTTTGCATCCCAGCTTAGGAATCCCAAAGGCACTCCACTTGGGATTCTGTACCTCCCCTTGGAATTCACAGGGACCACAGCTCAAGCTTCTGTACCCTTGAGTTGAAGCACAGCACAACATGCTCTCCCAGGATTAACTCGGACACAGCCCAGCTGTTATAGACTTGCCCTCCTCATCTCAGGATATTGCATGTTCAGAATATTCTGCCTGAGAATTGCAAGTAAGAGGGAGAAGAACCAGCACAACCAAGGCCATCTAGGGCCCCGTCCTCCTGCAGCATCCTTGCTGATTGGCACTTCTTAGCTCCATTGTTCAAAAATATTTTCATTTGTAATAAATCCAGACTTTCACATTCTAAATTATATTATCAGTTGTGATGGAGCAAAGAAATTCTGGTAACTCAAGCACTGATAACAATTCCACATTGTCATGATTAGACTAGGATCACTGCCACCCTGCACTGTGATCGTAGCAAACAGTTTATTACTCACCACCCTACAATATCTCTCACACTGAGTATAGACTCAGGAATAAGTATTTGTTGATTACTGTTTCTTTATTTTATAAACACATACTCCATTGATACTTTCCGTGCATTTTCAGTCCATGTAAGTAAACAATTAATGAAATCCTTAATAGCAAATAGCCAGTTCCTCTAAGGCCTGCCACATGCAGTGATACTTGGTGACACTTGAGTATTTAAAGGTTGGAATCCAGATCTAAAAGGAAGGGTGGAGGGCTTTCTACTCAACTACCACATGAGGGCATTTTTTGAGAACACTGCAGTCAAAATAGAACGATAAATATTTGGTTCATGTCTTGTCTGGCTGGGAAGCTGCTCAGCAAACCAAAACACAGACAACCCTCCTCCATTCAGCACTTGTGTGCACACTATTGTGACTTAGTTTCTTCATCTTTGAAGTGGGAATAGTAGTGCCTATTTCATAGAGGGTTGTCAGAATTAAAGAAGATGATGATGATGATAATTATAGTAACTCCCACTCACTGAGCTCTAAATGTCTATCAGGTAGTGATGTGCAAGCAGTCTCATTTAATTCCCATGATAAGGTCTTATTATTTTGCACACTTTAGAGATGAGGAAACAGCTAATGGAAGATAATGTTTGCAAAGCACCAGCATATACTAGCTACTCAGTAAGTTTTAGATTTCAGTCTTATGAGGTTAGAACAACTTTTTGCAGATTTCAAGGATTTTTTTTTTTCAAATTTTCCATACCCACATCTGTTTACTCTGCTGAGTAAAGTGTTCTTGGTTTTAATTCCAAACTTTGAAGGCTTATTGCCTTTGTTGATCTTGGAAGCATTTCTCTTTAACTGAGTGTGGCAGAGAAGGTTACTATCAAAAAATGTATTATCCTCTTCTAAAATCATACAGCCATTGAAACTAGAGGTCAAATTTTCCAGCCTTCCTTGCAGTTAAGTTGTCCATTTGAGTAGGCTTTTGCCAATGGTAGATAGCCAGCCAAGATTCATGTATATTTTGCTTCTGAAGTCAGGACTTAACAGAATGAGTATGTCCCCTCCACATTATCCCTTCTCATTTTACTCTAACTGATACCTCAACATGCAGTGAGCCAGCTTGAACCATCAAACAACAAAGCTGTAAACCAGAGGTTGGCAAACTGGCCCAGAGCCAAATCTGGTCCACCATCTATGTTTGTAAATAAAGTTTTATTGTAACATAGCCATACCATTCACTTATATGTTTTCTATGATTCCTTTCAAGCTACAATAGCAGAATTGAGTAGTTGTAAAGAGACCCTGTGACCCACAAACTCTCTGTAGGAAAAGTTTGCTGATCCCTGCTCTAGCATAAAAGATAAAAGAAAACCTAAATCCCTTCAATTTCTTCTTTCATCAGTAGACTATTTAGAAATATATTGTTTAATTTTAAAGGACTTGTGGACTCTAGCTATCTTCTTTGCTATTGATTTCTATTCTAATTTCATTGTGACCAGAAAACATACACCAAATGATTTCAACCTTTTGAAATCTTTCAGGCTTTCTTTATAGCCCAAGAGACAGTCACTTTTAGTAAATGTTCCATACGTACCTAGAAAGAATATGAATTTTGTAATCTCATTTTTTAAAATGCTTTTTATCCTCTGATGTAGTTATAAATAACTACCATTATTCCTATCATTGTTTGTTGGTGGAAAGCAATTTATCAGCATTATTCTCTCTTAGCATAAACGCAACAAAAATAGATGGGACTAAAGGTAAATACCACAAGAACTGCATAACTCCTAAATTATCACAATATTTCATTCTGTTTTTATGTTGGGAAGGAAAACCAGATCCTACTAAACATCTTATTAATTTTCAGTGAGCTCTCTGAAAAGACTATAGAAGTTACATTGACTCCAGAAATGATCCAAGCAGAATTCCCTACTTTGGACACCAAGAAGGAGAAGTAAGTGCATGTTTTTAAGCCTTATTAGGAGATACCCTTCAATAAAATTTATCCTACATGGTGTACAGAATTGTCAAATTGTCTGAATCTAAATATCTCAATCTTTGAAAGAGATATATTTCCAGTGCTTCATATATTTATATTTTATTTTATGCACAATCACATGCACTGAAATTTTGCTAAGAAAGTCTTTAAAAGCTGAAATCAATTTGCCATTTTTCTTATCAGTCAATTTCAGTGATATGTTTGTTTCTTATAAATAGCTGATTGAGTTTCATTCAATACAAGGAACTCAAGCTCTGGAGCCAGCCCTGAAGTTGAATCCCAGCTCCACTATTTATCACATGTGAGATCTCAATCCAAGTTATTGTATTTATTTTCTCTGGGCCTCAGTGGCCTCATCTGTAACATGCAGAAAATAAAATCTCTCTCCCAGGGCAGTTGTGAGGATTGAATGAGGTGCCAAGTGTGGAAGCCTCCAGCTAGTCACCTGGCGTGAACTAGAGCTTAGTAAATGTTCTTTCCTTCTTCTCTCCATGAGCGGACTAACTAGCTATGTAAATATCCTTCTAAAAATTACTTGGGAAACATAATGATAAATATGTAAAATGTGTTCAACCTCATTCGTAATGAAAGACATACAAATTAAAACAAAAAAACTGGTTTTAAAGAATACTTTTGTAATGTAAATAACCACTTATAGTTGGTATGGTTTTTAAGTTTGGAATTCCAGAGGTACAGTACATTTTTTTGCTCTTTCATTTTTTAAATGCTGTTTTATTATTTAAAAAAATTAGAAAATACAGAAAAATATAAAGAATAAAATAAAAACAATAATCCTAGCATTCGAAGGTATTAACTTATACATTTTGATATATGGTCTTCTGTTTTAACAAAATCAAATCATGTTGTATATACTGTTTTGTTTCTGCACTTTTATTTAATAATATGTCATAGACATATTTAAAAATACAGGTATTCATTATTATATTTCACTGAGTAGATATACCATAATATATTTAACCAACCCTTTACCGATGAACATGCAAACTCTTTTCAATGTTTTTCTGTTATTAATAATGCTACAACAAACATCTTTATGCCATAATTCCCTACAAATTTATAAGACTGTTTCCTTAGGAGAAATTTTATTAATAGATTAACGTGCATTTTAAGCTTTTAACATATATTGCTTAATTGCCATCCAGAAAGTGCATTGACATCCTTCCTACTAGCAGAGGACAGGACTGCCTGCATTCAAACATGGAATATTATTGTGGAGCTGGGGCAGGGGTGTGGGGTAGGGAATCTCATTTTTATCAGTAGAATAAAATTTTTCCAAGACCATCTCATTGTTTTAATTTTTTTGTTTACAAGTGATATTAAAATTTTTCCTATTCTTATCAACATTTTTATTCTTCTTTTTTTTTTGAGACAGAGTCTCACTATGTCACCCTCAGTAGAGTGCCAGGGCATCACAGCTCATAGCAATTGCCAACTCTTGGGCTTAAGTGACTGTCTTACCTCAGCCTCCCAAGTAGCTGGGACTATAGGTGGCTGCCACAACGCCTGGTTATTTTTTTTTTTTTTGCAGTTTTTGGCCGGGGCCAGGTTTGAACCTGCCACCTCCAGTATATGGGGCCAGCACCCTACTCCTTCGAGCCACAGGTGCTGCCCATGCCCAGCTATTTTTTGTTGCAGTTGTCATTGTTGGTTAGCTGGCCCACGCCAGGTTCGAACCCACCAAGTTCGGTATATGTGGCTGGCACTGTAATTCACTGTCCTATGGGTGCTGAGTTCATTTTTCTTCTTTTAAATAGAAGGTTGTTAGCTTGTTTTGACTATTTTTAATTTTTTTTTTTGAGACAGAGCCTCAAGCTGTCCCCCTGGGTAGAGTGCTATGGCATCACAGCTCACCGCAACCTCCAACTCCTGGGCTCAAGCGAGTCTCCTGCCTCAGCCTCCCAAGTAGCTGGGACCACAGGCACCTGCCACAGTGCCCAGCTATTTTTTGGTTGCAGCTGTGGTTGTTTGGCGGGCCGGGCTGGGTTCTAACCTGCTACCTTAGTTGTATGTGGCTGGCGCCTTAGCCACTTGAGCCACAGGCACAGAGCCATATTTTTTATATTTTTTATAGAAGTCACTCAATTATTAAGGATAATTATCCTTTCTTACATATACACTGCAAACTCATTTTCTCTATTTCCTCAAAATTGATCATATCTTAGGCCACAAAACAGGTCTCAACAAACTCAGAAAAGTCAAAATCGTTTTCTCAGCTTGCCCCTCCCTTTGTTTAGGGTCTTACGGGTGGCCCTACCTTTTCTGAAAGGAGCGCTCACATGTCTTAGGGCGCTGTGGGGTTTCTCTGGTTTGTTTGTGATAGTGTCAGAGGCCTACAAGCACCATCACCTCTCAGGAAATCTATTGGTAGTTTCTGGTGAATGAAAATTTAGAAAATAAAGATTTTAAATAGAATTCCAGGGAACACGTGTTTTGATCAGTTAACTGATTCAGTAAAGTATCATACTACAAAGCACATAAAACTTCTTGCACCTTAACAAATACACACACTTCATGTTTTGTTTCAAGTTTCAAATAGTTGACTAAAAGTTTTAAGCAAAAACTCTTTTTTTTCAATTTCAAAAATGATCCCTGGAAGTAGAATGGCTGGCCCTCTGAGCAGAGTAACATCCAATATAACTCTCCACTCACTCCCTTTTTCACTTGAGTTTGAGTTTTCACCCTTTACACTACATAGCTAATGTTGAATGACATTTGAATAGTAAGTTATTATTTTTTAAAGCCCTTCTTTTTTGGAGACAGAGTCTTGCTCTTTCACCCTGGGCATAGCGCAGTGACATCATAGCCACCTCAAATTCTAGGGCTCAAGCAACCCTCCTGCTGAAATCTCCCAAGTTGCTGAGACCACAAGTGCCCACAACAACACCCACTAATTTTCATATTTTTAGTAGAGACAGACTCTCACTCTTGCTCAGGCTACTCTTAAACTCCTGACCTCAAGCAATCCTCCTGTTTCTGTCTCCCAGAGTGCTAGGACTACAGGCATGTGCCATTGCACCTGGCCTCTCCAATTATTATAACATGAAAATGAAGTATATATATTCACCCAAATTGGTATAGCATTTTTCTCTTCTTTATGTATATTGGCTACATTGTTATGTGTTTTTGACAAAAAAAAAAATTAACAATAAAATCTAATCATTTTCTCATACACCAATTAGCTTCTAATTTAAAAAACATATATATGTATATATACATTCACACATTTGCAACAAACATTTCCATGGCGTTTTGAATTTACCTCTTTTGTAGTTAAAATTATTTATATATACTTTTCATGTGTGAAAATTATCAGTATAATTACCATTTTATTGACTGTATAGTATTCTAACAGGTTAATATCCCATAGAGCATTTTCAAAAGTTACTTGATTCCAAAATTCTCTTTAGCTCATTTCAAGCATTATCTTATGCTCAGGATTTCCCCCTCTGTTCTTTAGTTGTTGCTTTTCTTACCCTCCACCAGAAGCCAACAGAGTCCTCCTGTCAGATGCGCATATCGTCAGAGTTTGGACATACAGGGAAAGAACAAAGCGACACATAACTGGGGGTAATTTCCCCCGTGAAGACTGCTATTTAGTTTCTATCAGCCATTTTTTTTGTGGATGTAAAGTATATCTGCCCTCCCTCAATGGCTGAAATTAACTGGAGAGAGTCTTTGCTGCCTAGACAGTGGCCTCAGCCCTCTCAAGACCCACAAAAGGGAATCATGTTGTAAAATGTCCAAGAAACTGTGAGAGTGACTTTAGTTGGTGACATGTCCGTTGACATTCCTCAGGTTATCACAATATCACTCAATCACGCATATCTTTGAAGGGATTCATGATCTATATATCTTCAGACATGATTCCATAAAATGATTCCAATTAATTTCTTTGGTTAAATGCATTAGGGAACATTTTAATTGTCCATTTTCAGATATTTCTGGTCTTCCAAAACTGTCAGGCATTTGCCAGAACTTTACATGTTACCTTCTTTAGAAAATGTCTCGGAAGCATTTAATTTTATGTTGGATTCTCCCATCTCCCAGGCAGCTCATGTGGCTGAGTTCAGTCTTTACGCAAAATGTCTGTCTTTTCAACCAACGCACCTGTCATTGCCTCCCAGATACATGAACACTGATCGGCACATGACAGTCTCTGAGCCGAGTCTCCCTCGGCACCTTACCCTTGGCCACTGCTCACCAAGCGGCAAGTTGGCCCCTGAGAAGCCCGGCTGCTCCTCATCTCCCACCCTTTGTATAGCCCCCATTGTGCACCTCCGTTGACGGCCTCATTTCACACGACATCCAACTGAAGTTGCACCCAGCTAGCCTTGGCTATCCCAACATCAGTCTCGGCTCCACATCGGCCCCTACTTGCCCAGCTGCACGGCCTTCCCTCTCCGTTCCCACTCATCTAGAGCCAGTGTCAGAGTCAGAACCATTATGTATCTACTTCATTCAGGAGGATGAAAAACCTACTAACGCTGACTGAGCGTGTAGAAGACATCACACTGGGACCTCTATGAATAATTTCATCTCCCCTTCAAAATGGTGGGAGGTAGGAATTACTGCCATTTGTACACAGGAAACAGACACTCTGCACAATTAGGTGACTTGCCCCGGCTAAGAGACTGGTGCCACTGAGACTACAAGCCAGGTTTGAATCCCTTCTAAGCTGAGTATTTTTGCTGGTAACTAAATTATTACTAAGTATAATTAAAACTTTCTTTATGGCTCAGCGCCTGTGGCTGAAGTGGCTAAGGCGCCAGCCACATACACCTAAGGTGGCGGGTTCAAATCCAGCCCGGGCCCGCCAAACAACAATGATGGCTGCAACCAAAAAAAAAAATAGCCAGGCGTTGTGGCGGGCGCCTGTGGTCCCAGGGAGACTCGCTTGAGCCTAGGAGTTGGAGATTGTTGTGAGTGATACCACAGCACTCTACCCACGGGGACAGCTTGAGACTCCGTCTCAAAAAAAAAAAAAAAAAAGAAACAACTTTATTTATATGTTAAAAAATAACTCTCCAACCTTCACCAGCCGGGTGTTGGTGGGTGACTCACATGTTCCCTGTGTCTTTCAGAGAAGTGAAAGACCAGGCACAACCACCAGAGAAGGCAGGAGAAAAGATCTTGGAAGAGATGAAGACTCTGCGGAGCAAAGCTCTCAACACATACCTGATTCTAGAATAAAACTCACCAGGAGGTCACGCCCTTCCAGGTGCTTCCTCCAGGTCACTATCCTCCTTTGTGTCTATTTGCATTCCAACCATTTTTGGAATTAAAACTTGCAGAGGAAAAAAATTGAAATGTAGATGATGTATATATTTTTAGATTATAAATTTTATTTTTAAAAATAAAATGTCATTAGTATAATGGCAACGTTGGTAGCTTTTTTATACCACATTGCTGGAATGCTGCTGAGCAAGGCATGATGGGAGACTAAAGCCATGGATGGTGGACTCTGAGAGCGTGCTGGAGGTATAATGCCAGACGCAGAGGCCAGTGGGTTGAAGGAGGGCTGCTCTCCCACCTCTGCCCAGGACCAGCCCCCTTGGCACCCTGAGCACTGCTGCCTTGGCAGCCACTCCCAGGCAGAGCAGGGTCAGGATGGACACTGGCTTCCCAAGTAGCTGGCACTGGTGAGGAGGGATTGGACCTGGAGAGGACACTGTGAGGCAACTGGAGCTTACAAACTGGTTTGGGAACAACTGAAAAGCACCCCTCTGGGAACTCACAGATGCAAGGGGGTCAACTCAAGCCCCCCAAGACGGGGGTCATTGCTGAGAGGGCAGGAGTTGCAGCAAACATGTGTCAGTAAAACCCAGGCCTCTTGGTTGGTTGTTAACGTGACTGTACTCATATGCATAGGCCAGTAAGGCCGTGACATTTGGCTGATGTTGTAACAACCCAAAATTGTCCAAATATATTTGGGTGTGTTCCCTCCACTCGTTTTTCTGTGCACACATTTATTTTATTTATTTATTTGCTATATAACTCTGATTCATTATTTATGTGAATCCTAGGTGCCCTTTTGAACTCTCCTTCTGGAGTCAGATTGCCCAGCCTCTATGATAAGTGACTGGGTCATTTTCAAAGCATGACTGCCATAGCCCTCAAAGTTTCTGTCTGGGCATCATGGACCAGCACACATTTGCTAACATACATACCGAGTGATGAGGGCTGAAAGTAGGGTTTTCCAACCACTGCAGACAGGCACAGTCATGCAAATGAAGCCATCCAGCAAGGTCACCCTTCCTTCAGCCATCTCAGTTTTAGGATCATAGAATTTATGTATTAAGTACTTACAGGCCTGGCAATAACCAGCTTCGCTTCCCTTCCACAACGAGGGGCATCCAAGAACCTACAGAAACAGGCTTAACACATCAGCCCTGCTCATCAGAGAAAACAATCTCATTCATTGCCCTCAGCTCCAGATCCTGCATGTGGAGCCGACGTTAATAAGCTAGCTCCTAGTCAAACTGGATTCTGCTCTACTTTCTTACCAAGGCACTCCCTCTAAGCCGCCTCAGTGAAACCAGCATGACCCACTGGACTCTAATCCTAAGTGCAACAGTGCCTAAGAAGGAGAGAGTCCCATAGGAGGGAAGACTGGAGGGCATAGGGCTGGAGAGGATACAAAATCCTGGACTGTCGTTACATCAGTAACACAGCTTCACAAAGTGGTAGGCTTGGGGAAGAGGGGAGAGAAAGAACAAATGTCCCAATAATTTAGTGGCAGAGCCAGAGAGAGCATTTACAGCTATTCTGGGACTCTCCAACAAAATCTTTTCCCGGACACACAGACATTCATAATACTGGTATCTCTCATCGCCAGCTCTGGCACGTACGTGGTCACAATGCCCTACACGTACGTGGTACAGCATGAGAACAGCACAACGGGATGCCCAGGAGGCATCTGGACAGCACACCCCAAAACAAAAAGCTAAACTTCCCCCCACAGGACCCCATTAAAAAACAATGTTTGGGCTCGGTGCCTGTGGCTCAAGTGACTAAGTCGCCAGCCACATACACCTAAGGTGGCGGGTTTGAATTCAGCCCAGGCCCGCCAAACAACAATGACGGCTGCAACCAAAAAATGGCCGGGCGTTGTGGAGGGCGCCTGTGGTCCCAGCTACTCGGGAGGCTGAGGCAGGAGACTCGCTTGAGCCCAGGAATTGGAGGTTGCTGTGAGTGTGATGCCATGGCACTCTACCCAGGGGGATAGCTTGAGGCTCTATCTCAAAAAAAAAAAAAATGTCTTTACAAAGTCATGTTTTCTGTTTTTCTGCTTTATAAAGTCAGCGATGCTGGAGAGTGTCTAGCGGAATCCGTCCTCCAGGAATGAGTGCAAGAGGGGAGCACACGGCTCAGGGATGTCCTGTCAGTGAGCAATGGAAGGACTGGTTGGAGGCCTCTCATCCATTTCCAACAAACACACACACAGAAGAAGATTATTGCCAGCTTGTGTACTTTCACAATGTGATTTTTGTATTTCAAAAGCTTGAATTGTCCCCTGAGTGTGAAAGACGGAGGAGGAGCGTCCAATCAGTGGCCACTGTGGTTCACCAGGCCATGAAACTCCTCCCAGGCCTTGATGCGCTCGGTGTGAGTTTTGTATTCCATAATGGTGTTGGGAGGTAGGTTAAGCACTCGCCGAAGTATATCCCAGATTTGGGGTATGGTTGCTTAGTTGCTGGCAGTCTTATTCCCTATTGAAATAATGTCCTCCTGAAAGCGGACAGAGACCACAGCCCCACAGATCTCCTCTCCTACCATGAACTGTTCCCCAACATGGCCAGGATGAGATTCTCCCAGCAACGGGAAGCCAAGCCCTTTTGCAACCAAATAAGCCACTTGCCACCATTTTTATTTGCATCGTCCTCCCACGTGGGTTTAATTCCTTCTTTGAAGAGGTGGAAGTCACTGTGGCCTGTCAGGTCCCTGGGATGTACCGTGTGGCTATAAAACCTCCAGAGCTGCTCCACAGAGGCAAAGGTGCCAATCTCTTTGATATTCTGTTGGTAGTTTTGTGAGCTGGTAGGACGGCCAGGGGTTCTCCTGGGGTACCAGAAGTGTAGTCGTACTGCAGGGGCTGCTCTGCTGGTCCAGGGACAACAGCCTGCCACTGTTCTGATTCTTGTCCTGTTCCATTTTTTCCTTCTCACCATCTTTCTGTGTGCTATCTTCTTCATTCTGATCATGGTCCCCACTGTCATCATCTCTCAAGGCATCGAACTTGTTCATCCTCTCGCCACCGCTGTTTCCCTCTGTGCACACATTTAAATAGCTGGTATCCGACTGCACATATGTACTCTTCACTAACTCGTTGATTCTGACACTATTTGGATTTTTTTTTCCCTCATGAAACCTAAAGTCTTTAAGGACAGGCTCCCCAGCTGTGGAGTCTGAGGCAGCTTTTCACATACTTATACACAAATGTTGCTAAGGGTCATTTCCTGGTTGTCACTCAATATAGGGAAAGAGGTGCGCTTGGATCTGTGAAGCCCGTTTCCTCAGTGTTTGTCTTGACAAGCATCCCAGTCTAGGTGCAAAACAGAAGTTTCCATCATTCAGTTACAGTTACACACCCAGTCCCTGAAGGAAATGCCCCTGTGTATGTGGGGGGGGAGTGTGGGGTGGGGAACCTGATGATGTGAGGCCAGCGGTTGCTCCTCAAATCTAGCATTGCCCAACAAAAGGGACTGTCAGGCATACAAGAAACAGCCTTCACAGACATCCATCTTTCCCTGCCTCCTCCTCCTTCTCCTCTACCTCCTATTTTTTTAAACTACCAATTTGCCCTCATCCACTTTAGGGATAAAATGAGGTCGCGTCACTTTTACTACTCAAAGGTCAGAATTTATATCACCCACTTTCTTGTGACTCACACAGCTGAGAAGGAGACATGGACCCCACTTTTATGCAAATAGAAATTTATTACACCTGCAGAGGATTGTTGCCATAGGAAGCAAGCGACCCCAAATGACAGATCAAATGGGTCTTTATACCCTATTTGCATCACAGCAAGCAGGCAAAGGTATAGAGGCTGAATCATTGTGGTCAGCCTTGGGCAGGGGAGGGGGGATTGCATAGTACAATGGGGGGCAGGGATACGATGTCAAGCCTCTCCTCCCTACACACTTTTTTTTTTTTTTTTTTGAGACGGAGCCTCAAGCTATCCCCCTGGGTAGAGTGCCGTGGCCTCACAGCTCACAGCAACCTCCAACTCCTGGGCTCAAGCGAGTCTCCTGCCTCAGCCTCCCAAGTAGCTGGGACCACAGGCGCCCGCCACAGCGCCGGCCAATTTTTGGTTGCAGCCATCATTGTTGCTTGGCGGGCCCGGGCTGGGGATTCGAACCCGCCACCTTAGGTGTATGTGGCTGGCGCCTTAGCCGCTTGAGCCACAGGCGCCGAGCCCCTACACACTTTCTTATCTCAAGTTTCTCCTGGAAGTTCTTCCCCCTCCCTAGCACTCGCTTATCTTCAGGCCTCTTTTCAGAGTTCTCCTCTCCACCCTTGAGGAGGCTGGGACTAATGGATTCAAAGGAAGATTCTTTTTCAAGGGTAGGGGGCTTGGTTATCACACTTTTTCTTAGAGATGCAGTCTATGTATTTGGAACATATTACACTGAAAAATTCTTCATTACCTGAAATTCAAATTGGATTGGATGCCTACATTTTTTTTACTTTTTTGCAGTTTTTGGCCAGGGCTGGGTTTGAACCCACCAGTTCTGGTATATGGGGCTGGTTCCCTACTCCTTTGAGCCACAGGCACCCCCTCATGTCCTACATTTTTATCTTCTGAATCTGGCAGCTCTATGTGTGGTCTTCTGGTGGACAATGTGTGATGAATGTGGAAATGAGGGCACGAGGGAGAGGCAGTGATTAACACGAGAGTGTGAGTAAGGCCAGTGGCTGGGGTCCACCCTGTGCCAGACCCTCTGCCGCCTGTGGGAGGCCGCCCCTCAGGGAGGCAGTTACTCTGCTCCACAGTGGAAACCCCAAGGATAAAGAAGTCACTTGACTCCCCAAGCTGGTGAAGACCCAAGCCTGTGTGACTTCAGTGCCTGAGCAGAATCAGAGAGGGCCTTTCTGGGCACCCAGGACACAGCTGGTTGGCTATGCAGGGCAAATGAACCAGAGTCGGTGCCTGCTACTGCTTGAGGATGCCAGAGTCCTCATTCCAGAGT